TTCACCAAAATGGCTGTGGATAGTCTTTAGGAGGCTTTCAGAGAGCTCCTGGGGGCTGGGAAGGGCAGAAATGAGTGAAAAACAGGCTGTTTTTTGCTCAATTTTGCCCCCCCCCTCAGCCCCCAGGATCACTCTATAAGCCTCCTAAAGGCTATGCATGCCCCCCCTTTTTTTTACAGAAAGGGGCCAGTTTTTGGGATGGGCACCCCCCCCAGGAGCACTCTACAAGCCTCCTAAAAGGCTATTCATGCCCTTTTAAAAAAGGAGGGGGAACGTTTTTGCGAAAAACGGGCTGTTTTGGGGAGGTCTGCAGAGTGCAAAAACTTTTTTTTAAAATTTGCCTCTTCAAAACCTTGGTGCGTCTTATACTCTGGTGTGTCTTATACTCCAAAAAATACAGTATATCTGAAATAATGTTCCTGTACATAGAAAGTACAGGAACTTTTTTTTATGTTGTATGTCGCCCTGAATCTTTTGGGAGAAGGGCAGCATATAAATCCAATAAACGAAATGAAACAAAACGAAATGAAAAGAAAGTATGTGATATGGCACTTTATCATGCCCCTTGATTAACTGCTACCATTAGGACAATTGTCATACTGTATCTAAATCTATCTAAATCTGAATTCTTCACAACTGCATGCACAAAGGGGGTGAGTGGCTGTAAGTGCCAATCATATATGCATTCTTCATATAATAAAAATATACTGTATGAAAAATGAGGAAAGTGAGTTTGGGCAGTTAAACTCCAAACTATTTTCCAATTTGCTTCAAAACCAAGCACCTGTGTTTCTTCTTTCTAGGAGCATCTGCCCTTGGAGTTTATACAAAGAATCTCACAGTTTGACACACGTTCTCCAGTCACCAAGATCAATGGTGAGGACTGTAAGGCAGTGAATAGGTGAGAAGCTTCCATGTAAAAGTTTTAGTGGTACAATAATTTCCATGGTCAACAGACAGATTTCTCCCTATCTCCTGAGTACATTTAATAGGGCCAACTGAAACCTTACAGAACGGATAACAAATTTCTGTTCTTCAGGCTGGCTAGTACAAAAAACACATGAAGAATAGAAAAAGCAAAAAAAAAAAAGGATAATCTTTTGTTCTTCCAACTCAATTTCTCAGATAATTGGAAGTCTATTTTTAACCCAACCCCACAACTTTAGGGGCTGGTGATTTAAAGAACAATGTTGACAAAGTGGGAACCAATGGCTTTCAAGCTAGACAGAACAGTTTGTAAACACTGATCAAATGTCCCAATCTCAAAGGAGAGAAGAAAGCAGCAAAAGTTTTGTAGAATTGAAAAGGTAGGACCAAAAGGCCTAGAATTTAAATCCTAAAAGGGAAATTATGTAGGACTTGATTTCTGTTGCAGTAGGTAGGTGTTCTATTTTATCTGCAATAAATGACTTATCTATCTATGTTCTGTTGTGAATTTCTGTTGTGAGTAAATTCCTGAATGTTGTGTTAAATATCTGGAGAACTGAAATTTATTGCATTGCCTAGTGTTGTTTATAACATCAACTTTTACTGCCCGTATCCTCAGTGGCTGTGGATCGGTTGCCCAATTTTTTGGCAGTCTCAAACACTACCAGCAATGACCCCTTGCCTCACCATCAATGCTCCATCCATCTCAATTGTGAAAACACTCATGCCTTGCAACAGGCCTTTGAAGATGCTTGCAATGGGAGGCCCTCGAGAAGGTATGATCAGCAATTCTGAGTGGCTTCACTAGAGTTAGGGATAGAGAAACACCCCCGCCCCCCCCAAAAACCCTGGATATTTCCAGTTATGTTAGATTTCAGTTCCTATAATTCCCAGCCAACACGGCAAAGAATGGTGATTGAGAATTATGTAAACTGAGGTCCTCTTAGCTTTGAGGGAGACAACTTTATAATCTACCTTTTCCTATCTTGTCGAGTAACGATAATGGCTACAGAAGAGAATGAAGTCAACTCAATTCAAATATATGAAATTATATATGCTAATATATGCTACTATTACTTAATACATATTTAAAACTTATGGTTGGACCTGCTCCCAGCTATCCTTTTAGGTAGCCTTTCTAATAATCAGCCTGGAAGTGCCCTGCAGTTAAACTTACTATTTTCCTACACTTGAGAGCACAGATTTTAAACTGTTAACACAGATTTCACCTCTCCAGAGTGTCTAATCTAAAACCCTTATCATGCTCTAATCCAGGTCTAATGAGAGGAAGCTTATTTTGTAGAAAAACAAATATTGTCAGATTCTTTTCTGGTAAGTTATATGACTGTGAATTTCATATGCATCTACACAGTTTCATTAGCTATTTTAGGCACTGCAACATCTGTCAGGCTTTTGTTCCTGTTATGAATGTAGTGCAGAAATTCTAATTTAGATGCACATTCTGCATTGCTGGTTTGATCTTCCAGTGCCATCTCTTTGCAATAACGAAGAGTTTGCTGGTGTTTCCTGTTTTTCCCATCTCTCGGTATTATCATTTATTCAACAGTTTTAAGTGCACAATACCATTTAAAATCCAGAATAATAATTCACCTTGACACTCAATCTGTGCTTTGTGTAGAAAGGAAATTAACAGCCCAATTATATGCTTGTTTACGCACTAGAATTAAGTTCATGAAATTACTGAGGCCAACTCCCAAATAAATTGTATGTAGAATTGCATTGTTCGGTTATCGTATACTATTTCAATCCCATAATAAATAAAATTGGAATATTAGGCCTTATGCTGGAAATCATATACTCCAGATAAGATGGTATCTATTACCGATAATGAAAACTGCCTTTTTCAAATTTGTATTTTCTTGGTTTTGTGAGAAGAGCAAATGGGACCCAGAACCAAAAAAAAGGTGGGTGGAGCTCTTGACCAGCTCTTGACTGTTTTATCTGCCATCTGTCCAATTTCCTTCTGGTTTCCTCTTCTATTGGTCAGAAGAGCTGAATTTGCTACTAGTATTTGCTAGGAATGGGTGATTTTTTTTCTCCCTATGTTGCTGAATTTCAATTCCCAGCACCCCCAACCGGTTTGATTAAAGATGATGCTGGAAGTTGACATTCTGCAAGAACTGGAGTGCTGCTACTTGTTCACCTCTGGATTTATGTGTATTGTTTTCCGTGAGTTTTTGCGAAGTCAGTATATATTATGAAACAAGTAGGACTTTGTCCTGTCACATTATCCTTCAGTAGACTTTAGGTCTTCTCAAAAGATTTGTCTCAAGGCTTGGGCTATCTCCTTGGCTTGGTGCCAAGTACCTCATTTAGTTCCCTCCTGTTAGAAGCTGCTGGCAGGACTGTATTAAGGCAAGTCCAGCGTGTTAGTATAAAACCAAGGCATAATCCGAGCAGCCACAGAAAGAGAACTATCAGCCAGTGACTCTGGGGATAATTTGATTTGATTTATTGCATTTCTATGCCACCCTATTCCCAGAGGGACTCCGGGCAGCTCACAAACCAAAGTAAGGGGGGGGGGGGAGATACACACAGGAGGAAAAACAACGGACAAACAACTACAACAATTTAAAAAAAACACTCAATAAGAGTCACAGGTTGCCTTCTTCCTTCTTGTTTAGGCCCATGATTGAGATGTGCATTCCATCGGTTTTGGATCCTACCCTGGCTCCCCCAGGCTGCCATGTGATTTCACTTTTTACTCAATACACCCCCTATTTGCTTGCCGAAGAAAAACAGTGGGACCCCCGTGACCGTGAGGACTATGCCAATCGAGGTACAGCCAATGGCTAAACACTGGCATGGGAGTAATCTTGGTATAAAGGGCAAGTCTTGCATTTACCTAAGGAGCATCTTCCATTTGGAAGAGTATCTCTCCTTTTCTACTCATGCATGCCTTCTCACTATATCCTTGACAAAATGTTAATTCCCTTACTCTTTTAGAAGGATTTATTGCTCTCAGTTGCTGTTTCAGTACACAGAGATAACCTCTGAGAACAGCCATGTGCATTTCCTGATGATGAACAGGGAAGTTCTTGGGATGAACAGGAGCCTAGCAGCAACTGAAGGGTGATTTAATCACAGAGCATCCCTAGCTTTATGTTCTTGAAGGTTTGCATTCCAACCCGTCTATAAGGTAGCTGTTGGGGGGCCACCTTGATAAATAATGATTGATTTGCCTTGAACCAGAAACAAGGATTTTATGCTATTCGGCCAATGAGAAGACTGCCTCATACTATATCAGACCATGGACCCAACTGTTTAAGTGTCTTCAACAGTAACTGGGAGGAGATTCCAAGATTAAAGATTAGAAGTTCTTCAGTACAACCTGGACATTCCAGAGATTAATGTTGGGAAGTTCTGTTCTACTCCTACCAGATGTCTTCTCTCTCTGTAGTATTTGACAGTGTTGAAGCCTATGCACCTGGGTTCAAGGCATCCATCATTGGCATAGACGTTTTAACACCTCCAGACCTTGAGCAGATCTTTGGTCTACCTGGTGGGGTATGTATTTCTTGAAAATCACCTCCCATCAATTTAGGAGACTATATAGCTTGATTCTTACACAGTAACTTTGTCCAACCCACCCACCAACCCTCTTACAAATTACCATAAGGATTTTTATATATATATATGCTTTCTGCCTTTGACTATAAAATGGTCTTGGAAATCTATGTGCTATTCTTAGAATCTGAATGTGTAGAATCTCTACGCTGGGAAATAAACAAGGACAAGACTCTTCAGCAATGTCTGATACTGCCTCTGACTTTCAGAATATATTCCATGGAGCCATGTCTTTGGATCAGTTATATTTTGCCCGTCCAGTGCCAGCTTACTCCAGTTACCAGTCTCCAATCCAAGGCCTATACCTCTGTGGAAGCGGTGCTCATCCTGGTATGTCTGGGGGTTCCACCACAAAACCGCGCTTGACTAAACCGCGCCCGATTAAACCGCGTCGCTGACGTCATCAACAGGGCGACAACAGTGCGGAGACAGAAGCACGCTGTAAACCCTAAACCTAAAATTAACCCCTAAACCTAACCCCCCTAAACCTAACCCCCCTAAACCTAACCCTTAACCTAACCCTAAACCTAACCCTAAACCTAACCCTAACCCTTAAGCTAACCCTAAAC